TTCCAGTGGCACTGTCACCTTGGTCACCCGTCACTTCAAGTTTTGAAGCGTCAAGTTCCTAGTCTTAGTCATTTGAAATTCTTGTCATGTGAAGTTTGTCAACTTAGTAAGCACCATCGTGTGTCTTTCAAGTCTAGGGTTAATAATCATGTCTCTAGTCCTTTTCATTTGGTTCATTCAGATGTATGGGGTCCAATAAAACATTCTTCAATCAATAAATTTCATTATTTTGGGACATTTGTGGATGATTATTCTCACCTGACTTGGTTGTTTTTAATGAAAGATCGTTCTGAGTTATTTTTAATTTTTCAAAAATTTCGCAAAGAAATCAAAACTCAGTTTGGATGTCCAATTCGTATTCTACGTTCTGATAATGCTAAGGAATATTCTTCAACTCCATTTGATACATATCTTAGTGATAAAGGAATTATTCATCAAAATTCATGTGTTTATACTCCACAACAAAATGGCGTTGCAGAACGTAAGAATCGACATCTCTTAGAAGTAACTCGTGCTCTTTTGTTTCATATGCGTATGCCTAAACGGTTTTGGGGTGATGCTGTTCTTACTGCCTGTCATCTTATTAACCGTATGCCGTCATCTGTATTAGATGGCAAATCTCCACATTCTATTTTATTTCCTGATTCTCCCTTGTTTTCTCTTCCTCCTAGGGTTTTTGGATGTGTATGTTATGTCCACAATCTTGGTCCTAGTTTTGATAAATTAGACCCACGTGCCACAAAGTGTGTATTTCTTAGCTACTCTCGCTCTCATAAAGGTCATCACTGCTATAGTCCTGTTTCTCAACGGTACTTTATTAGCGCAGATGTAACGTTTTCTGAGTCCATCCCATATTTTTCAGATATTGATTCACTTCTTGATATCACTCTTGAGTCGCCTCCTTCTGCCGTTCCTCTTCCCTCACTCTCTCTTCAACCTCGATCTCTTGTTCCTTCATCTGCCCCGTTACAGGTGTACACTCGAAGACCAAAGCCATCGGTTGTCGTGCCTCCTCCATCGTCTTCAGAGTCCTTGGATCCGGCGCCTTCCACTGTGTCTGATTCCTTACCTATTGCACTTCGTAAAGCTCCTCGCTCATGTGTTACTAACCATCCCATTGCTTATTATGTCTCTTATAATTCCTTATCGCCATCATTCTCCTGTTTTTCCTCTCAGTTGTCTACTACATTCATTCCTAAGACTGTGCAGGATGCGTTATCTGATTTGGGCTGGAGGAAAGCAATGCAAGATGAAATGGATGCTTTGCATAAGAATGGCACGTGGGATCTTGTTGCATTACCACCAGATGTCAAACCTGTTGGTTGTCGCTAGGTATATACTGTGAAGTATCTTCCAGATGTCTGTTAAGCGTTTAAAAGCCCGTCTTGTTGCCAAAGGTTATACCCAAACTTATGGTATTGACTATAACGAGACATTTTCTCCCGTTGCTAAGATTTCTTCTATTCGTGTTTTGATTTCTCTTGCTGTTAATAGACATTGGCCTCTATTTCAGTTAGACGTTAAAAATGCCTTTTTGCATGGTGACTTAGCAGAAGAGGTTTATATGGAGCAACCAACTGGGTTTGTTGCTCAGGGGGAGTATCTTCACACTGTTTGTCACCTTAAAAAGGCTCTGTATGGATTGAAACAATCTCCACGGGCTTGGTTTTGAAAATTCTCTGAGGTGGCGTTAAAATTTGGTCTTAAGAGATGTCAGACCGACCATTCGGTGTTTCACCAGCACACTAAAGCTCGCTTCATATTTCTTGTGGTGTATGTAGATGATATTGTGATCACAGGTGATGATTATGAAGGCATTGCTAAGTTAAAGTTGTTTCTGCAATATCAATTCCACACTAAAGACTTGGGTAAACTTAGGTATTTCTTGGGCATTGAAGTTGCTAGATCCAAGAAGGGTATAAGTTTATCCCAACGCAAATATGTGTTGGATTTATTAGAAAAGACAGGTATGTTGAGAGGTCGTCCAGTTGATACTCCTATGGATTCAAATACAAAACTTGTATCTGATGAGGGTGATCTATTTAATGACCCGGGCAGGTTTCGTCGCCTTGTTGGGAAATTAATTTATCTCACTATCACTCGACCTGATATTTCATATGCAGTCAGTGTTGTAAGTCAGTTCATGGGAGTTCCTAGAATGCCACATTGGATTGCTGTTCTTCGGATTATACGATATCTCAAGAAAGCTCCAGGTTTAGGGTTACTATATAAATCAAATGGTCATCTCAGGGTGGAAGGTTTTACAGATGCTGACTGGGCTGGTTCTCCTTCAGATAGGAGATCTACTACAGGATACTGCACATTTGTAAGAGGAAATCTTGTTACATGGCGAAGAAAAAAGCAGACGGTGGTAGCTCGATCTAGTGCTGAAGCTGAATATAGGGCAATGGCCCATACCACTAGTGAGTTGACATGGATACAACATTTTCTAAAAGAACTTGGGTTGATAGTTGAGGCTCCTACTCCATTGTTCTGTGATAATCAAGCAACAGTTCACATTGCATCAAATCATGTGTTTCATGAGAGGACCAAACATATTGAAGTTGATTGTCACTTCATTCTAGAAAAAATATTAAGTGGGAGCATCTCTACTCCATTTGTGCAGTCTGAAGATCAATTAGCTGATATGTTTACAAAAGCATTGGGTCATAACCAGTTAAGAACTATCTGTTTCAAGCTGGGATTATTTGATATATATTCTCCAGCTTTAGGGGGAGTGTTAGAATGTTATATATATATATATAAGTGTTGGGCCATTATGTAATTACAGAAAGTTGATAGGGGCCCTTGTGTAGTCAAGTAAGACTTGTACTCTTTATATAAGCCTTGTACACTTTATTAGGTTTTTCAAGTATAATGAATATAGACAAGTCTGAAACTTCTCTCTCCCTCTCATATATATAACTGTGAACAGCATTCAACATTTCCACATCACTAATAAGTTTGGACCTAATGCATATTTATTTAACTTGTCAACAGATAATACTATTTGTCCAATTTTTAATGTGGACTATTTGATGTCTAACCGAGGTACCTTTGAGCCTCTTGTGTTAGCTTGTACTTTTACAGCTTCAGACGAGTCTTGCCACTTTGATCCGAGTTATTTTGAGCCACTTTAATCTTTGGAGAAGAGTTATTCTCAGCCGAGGAGAATTGATGGGGAACGGGATATGATTCGAATACATGAGTTACACATGCTTCAACATTACTTTTGGAGAAGAGGGAAAGAGAAATAAAATTGGGGATTTTAGTGATTTAGAGTTTTATGTATGCTTATTGTTATTTTGATAATGTTTGAATCTAAGAAGCATGGACACGGATACGGGACACGGATACGACACGACACCGACACGGCAAATCCAAAAAAATTAGGACACGGACACGGCGAATAGTGTACATATATATATATATATATATATATATATATATGATGTAGTACTTTAAAAATTACTGAGTGTTACTATTTTTCATCAACCTCACAATGAAAAAAAAAACACAAATCATAACTCATAACTAATAAACTGTAAAAGAACAAAGTTGCAAAATTATAAAACCAAATAAAAAATAAGACATTAGAATAATAACTAGTATCATTTAATCATCATTGCAACTTTACTCCAAATACAAAAGCATAGACAAAAAGGACTATTAACATTCATGACTTTACTGTTAGCACTTAACATTCACAAAAACCTAAAGGCTAGTCCCCAAAAAAGATACAAAAACAAGTCAGTGTACTATCATCTATTCCTATCCATCATTTGACCTAGGACTTTTACCATTTACAATACCAAAAGGGTAGTACAAAAAAAAAAAAAAAAAGAACATATCAGCATTCAAAAAAAAAAAAAAAAAAATTCCAGAAGCGTCCATGCCGTGTCCGTGTCGTGTCCGAAAATTAAAAAAAAATAAAAAATTCCAGACATGTTTTTTGGCGTGTCCGACGCGTGTCAGTGTCCGACACGTGTCGGACACGGATTCTTCGCCCATTTTGGAGTGTCCGTGCTTCCTAGATTTGAATTTTAGGGTTACTTTGGTATTTTTATGTTTTAGGGTTTGCTTAGTAATTTGCCTATTTATAGGCTCCTTTGTGATTTGAGAACTCAATTTTGGAGAATATTGATTATCGTTTTCTTTGAGTCTCTCTATGTGTTCTATTGTTTCTCTCATTTATGTTCTTGCTTTTCTCACCCATTCAGTCTATCCTACCTATCTATTCACTTTGTTCTCACCCCCTTTCGTCTATTTTCACATCCCCTTCTTCTAATCTATCTATTCTTCTATTTTCTCATCCCTTTCTTTCTTTCTGGTTACTTGTCCTACGTCACTCAAGGAAGGCAAGTATTTGATATGAAGCATGTTCTCATGGACTGTAAAAGTATTATGTCCCGCATTGGGTGTTACGGGGTGATCTTGGGGTTAATAAAGGGTGTAAATAATCCAAAAGTGGTAGAACTGGCCCATTGTTACACTAGTAAAGCCAACCCAGGGGTACTACAACGTAGGTCAGGGGAACTATTATGAGGGTCCCAACCCAGGGGTAGTACAAGGTAGGTTGGGGCAACTTATTGTGAGGGCACCAACCCAAGTGTTGTCAACGTAGGTTGGGGCAACTATTGTGAGGGTCCCGTGCAGAGGTGTGGGTGGTCCCCTTTACGAGGTGCAAGGGTCTGGTCGGAGGAGCCTGTCACAGATGTGTAGATGTGTTTTGTCCCACATGGGGTGTATACTGGGTGACCCCCATGTGAAAATGTTGTCACTCCTAAAAGGCCAAAGAAAAATACCCCAAAAAAAGGATATGATCGTACCTTATATATTGAATATTCTCCACATTTGAACAAATATTGTCAGTCACATAACAAAGACAATTATCCCAAAAGGCAGAAGTAATACAATCATACCTTATATATTGAATATTCTCCACATTTTAACAACTATTATGCAAACAGATAAGAAGTTATAATGCAAGGCCTAGTTACCTCATTTCGTATAGCAGTAAACGCCGGAAGTTGTAATGGTTCAGCCAGGGGCATTGAGGAGTCAGCGACCATGTTCCGAATAACAAATTCTTCAACAGGATGCCCTACACTCTCTGACGTTGTAGAGTCAGCTACCATGTTCTGAATAACAAATTCTTCGACAGGATGCCCTACACTCTCTGTTACAACATCATGATTTGGTTTGATGTGCCTGCTTGGTTCAATCAGGGGCATCGAAGAGTCAGCCACCATGTTCTGAATAACAAATTCTTCGACAGGATGCCCTACACTCTCTGTTACAACATCATGATTTGGTTTGATGTGCCTGCTTGGTTCAATCAGGGGCATCGAAGAGTCAGCCACCATGTTCTGAATAACAAATTCTTCAACAGGATGCCCTACACTCTCTGTTACAACATCATGATTTGGTTTGATGTGCCTGCTTGGTTCAATCAAGGGTATCGAAGAGTTAGCAACCATGTTCTGAATAACAAATTCTTCAACAGGATGCCCTACACTCTCTGTTACAACATCACGATGCCCTACACTCTCTGGCATTGTAGAGTCAGCAACCATGTTCTGAACAACAAATTCTTCGACAGGATGCCCTGCACTCTCTGTTACAACATCGTGATTTGGTTTGATGTGCTTGTCTGGTTCAGTCAGGGGCATCGAAGAGTCAGCAACCATGTTCTGAACAACAAATTCTTCAACAGGATGCCCTACACTCTCTGTTACAACATCATGATTTGGTTCGATGTGCCTGTTTGAAAAACCAATCTCTAGCTCACTATTTCCACATTTATCCACTTCATTAGGCTTGGGCATTGAAGAGACAGCAACCATGTTCTGAACAACAAATTCTTCAACAGGATGCCCTACACTCTCTGTTTCAACATCATTTGGTTTGATGTGCCTGTTTGCAAAACCAATCTCTAGCTCACTATTTCCATGTTTTTCCACTTCACTAGGCTTGGGATGCTCGGAAGTGGTTGTACAAAAAGAAGTCATATTAGACTTGTTACCATGCTGATTTTTCTCTTGACTCGAAGCTCTGTTGGTCATGTGGTCTTCCAATTCCTTGTCACAGGGTTGAGAAGCCAAGCTTAATTCATGATCAGAATGGGCAGCAAGAATTTCTGGTCTGGTAACCATGTTTAGCTTATGAGATGAATCATCATCAAGTTTATCATTAGGTCCACTGCCACTTTCTAAAATAGAACTCTGGGCAATTTCAATTAAAGCATCCATTTTAGATATCCTCTGAGGCAACTCATCCTGGCATGAAGATTCAATGTGCTTTGCTACTGCAATCTCACCAGGTGATTCTTCAGAACTCCTGACATGGTTCCTCACATGGATTCCCACATGGCCATTGTATCTTCGCCTTTCCTGAAATACCTTATGGCAGAACTGGCATTCATATTTTCCATCTTTAATTATCACACCCTCCCCAACAGATGTACCAAGTCTATACCTCCTTGTGGTCCGCTGGTGAAATGATAACAGATGCTGCAGATACGTATTTTTTTCATCAAAAGTCATGTTGCATTTGTAACATTCAAAAAGATCCCGCACTTGAACCTCGGCCAGATTGTCAATCTCCATTAAGACAACTTCCTTCTCATGTGCATCAGAAATTAATGAACTGGGTAAAATTGAATTGGGAAGGATCTCTTGCTTTCTGTTATCATCCTTATGGTTAAGACCTACATGCTGTTGGAAAACCCATAAATAATTGCACAAAAGTCTGACAAAAACCAAACTATTGGATAGGGCTGCAAATGAGCCAGGCTATTCATGAACAGGACAGGCTTGGCTCGCTTGAGATCTCAGTCAAGCTCATTCAGTAGTATAGGCAAGCCTAGCTCAAACCACGATTGTAAAACAACCACGAACTTGAGCAAGACTAAGCTCAACTTGTTAAGGCTCGGCTCATCTTTTTTTCCTTTTTTTTAAGGCTCGGCTCTTCTTGGTTCTAAATGCAAATCCCAAAGACAGTGCTATTTAATGGTATTCCTCATTTTTTAATTTAAAATCCCAAACAATACTTGAGCTTATTAATATAAATTATCTTTGAAAGACAGTAGTACTTCAATTTTTATTACTTCACCAATACATGACTATTGGGAAACAAACAGGCTACTGTGTAGAGATTGTTGTAGAGTATCTATATATATATAGATATAGATATATATAGAGAGAGAGGGAGAGAGATTAAATGGGTCGTTCTTCATCATCTCCATTAAAAAAGAACTCAACATCACCAGCCACGGCATTGCTAAAGTTTCATTGTTCCAGTAAGTTGTAGGTGGTCATGATGTCAAGGCTAAAGTCTTAACACCTCTTCCGCCTAGTTTCTCTTTTTCTCTTCAATTTTATTTTTTCAGCCATTTTATGTATGTACTCTTTAAAAAAAAACAAATTAAATCCACTTGTTTCCTAAAGAAAAAATATGGAGATTAATTAGAATTTTGGATATGGGGACTGTTATTTATAAATTTATTGTTTAGGAACTGTTTAGATCTGTGTTATTCTTTGTAACCAAGCCAATCTGAGCCAAGCTCAAGCTCACCTAAAAATTACACAAGCCAGGCCTGAAAGCACATCTATGGAGCTTATATAATTTTGAGCCAAGCTTGATACACTACCTGCCTGACTGTGTTAAGCCTGCCATATTACTCAGCTTTGCCTGGTTTGCTGCAGCCCTACTACTAGATATAATTCACTTACACTTTCAGAAGCCACTCCGTAGGCCTGCTGAATGTTGCCACTCTGCTCCATTGGCTCGTTTGCATCATCAAGTCCAAAATAGGAATGCAAATATGAAGAGACGTCCTTGCAGGATACAAACTGTTGTCCAGTAGGGCTGGAAAATACCAAAAGAACAAACATTTCAGATTCAGGTCCAGTGAGAAAGCAAGTGATAGATGATGTTTTAAGAGATACAAACGTGTACAAACTTTATATTGAAAAAAAACATATCTATTAGTCATAATCCAAGTATAATTACTCTAAAATTTGTTCCTTTTGTGAAAGCAGATTTTGAATACACAAAACACACATAAGGTTTGGCAGCTCCCCTGCAATTGGAAAGTCTACAAAAATTAGTCATTGACCTGGCACAAAACAAATGGAGATTATGGATTAAAAATTTTGCTACTCCATATATTTCTCAATTTTTTTTTTTTTGGGTGAACTTCCTCCAAACGTCACTGTCATGGTCAATAGTGTTCCTGAGGCTATTCCTCCAGTAATTTCTCCACCTCCCTTTCTTAGGAGACATATTTATGACAGTTTCATGATAATTGAAAACTTTTTGTTTTTCAGAAGTCATGCACATAGGTGACCCACTTAAAATTTGTTTATTTTCAGAAATTCCCACATACAATTTGTTGATGGAGCTATTTCATGTAGGAAACTTTCTGAAGATACATTTGACCTTTCATGCTCTTTGAAGACGTTAGATCAATCAAATTAGACATAGTTCTATCTTTTTAAGCGTTCTTACTTTTTATTGTTGATTGACTACTAGCCTCTCTTTTTTTTTTCCCCTGACAAGTGTATCTATGTTGTAGTTTTGCCAATTAAATTCAAGTAAAGTAAGCTCCTTTCAAAAGTAAATCCCTTGGAGCCAAAGGTCTCAAAACGTTTGGCCTCTAGCCAATGTCAGGATCCTCACACACTTGAGTACTCATGTCAGACATGACCGACATGAATAGGTCCAGGATTTTTATAAATAAGCTCTGCTATTTCAGGCACATCCTCAGTGCGTATTTGACGAAATTTGGTTCCTGTGGCTGTGACTAACTTAAGCCAGAGTTCCATTGCGGGAATGTTCCAAGTAATGATAGACTCGAGATCTTGTTAGCACCTTTGAATATAGTGTTGCTAATTACAGTTTTCCAAGAATCTTTGGCTCCCTTTACAGTGAATTCTCTGATTTCAAGAATTTCCATGATATTATATGATCTAAATTTATGTTTATATTTAGGTACTGAATTGGGGTACACAAACATATTTCAATGCAATAAACATCTATATTTGCTGACAATTTAGGGGTTTACTAATTTTCCTGGGTCTAAAGACTTTTCATAACTTCTATGAGATTAGCTAGTTGGTTTACTTAAAGTACATTATTAAGAAATTATTTATCACATATCCACTTGGAGTAGTGACTGATTTAGCTAGAAAACATGCCTCATTTCGTAGGAAGGTAGTTTGGGTTATGAGATTGAGTAGGGGAAACCTTACTACAGTCATAGCAGTCATGGAAGCACAACTCAGACTTAAGCACAAATGTAGAGAGAAAATTTTCTATTAAAAAAGAAGATAAAATTTCCCCAATTATCAAACTTACAAAGACGAATAAGATATTCATGTCAACAGCTAAAAGAGAATAACAGTTCTGTTTTAATAAGTACAAAAGAATGGTTCTTTACCAAAATTGTATAGTGAAGAGAACAAAATATTACCAATACTCCAGATTTGCAAAAAGTATGAAATCTCCACCTCATAAGTTATAAGAATAAACAAGGCAACCACATCTAACAGTAAGACACTAATTCCAACTTCAGAACTAAGGAAGCAATTAATGCCTTTTTTCTATGATCACCAACTTCCCATTGTTCTAACAATAATGGCACCACTTATTATGATGAAAAACTTTCTTCAACAGAATTCAAAAAACCTCTAATGAAAAAAAATGTCTCGAGATGAATAGCAAGCAATTGTGTTACCCTCCCTAACGCAGGAAGCACAGAGCTCCAAAAAATAACAAATAAACACAAATTGCAAGAATCCAAGCACGATCAAGTTAATTTAGAACTCATAAGCATGATTTTCCATAAAACTTCAGCAACAAATTATAGAGGCGACACCATGTACAATTCATTATTTTTTAGTTGGAAAGAATTATGATGTAATGAAGTACTCACGTGTGTGTGCATATACCAATACTACAACAACAACAACAACCAAGCCTTTTCCCCAACTACTTGGGGTTTGGCAACATGAATTCTATGTTTCCATTCCGGTCTATTTAAGGCCATAGTCTCAATCAATACACACGCTATCATATCCTTTCTTACTAACTCTACCCATGTTAAATTTAGTCTTCCTTTTCTCCTAGTATTACCCTCATGTGTGCATATACACCAATGAAATGTGGATAACAAAATAATTCAAATCAATGGTAACATGACATCTAGATACAAACATATATATATATATATATATATATATATATAGATATAATAGCAACCAAGTTATAAAAAGACCACCACCTTATGTATCTGCGACAGTATACAGACACACGGCCTTCTCGCCTCCTGAGTCCTAGCAAGAGCTTCCATCCAACCGGCAATGCGTCGCCAAACTCGCTGGCGTCAACAATTCTCCTCTTCCTCCTCCTACTACCCCACTGTCCCTCCAAATCCCTCAAAAACCCTAACACTTCCTCTTCAGTCTCCAACCCAAAAGTCCTCCTCCTCAATTCTGCGCCATACAAATCATCCCCATTTGCCAATGCCGCAAGATCAACAGCCGCACCATTCCTATTCAAAATCTCCAATTCAACACCACCACCATCACCATTTTCCACAACCTTCAGCTTAGGTTTTCGCCCCCTCTTTCTCTTTCTCTCGCTAGAATGGAGCGCAATTTGCAGTTCCTGGATACCCAATTCCGCTTGTGCATAGGCAGTAGTCGGTGTTTCTTGAACCGCCTCCGTTTCCGGTGGCAAATTTTCGATGTCGTTGCCGGAGATGAGGTGTTTGAGGTAATTGACGATGGATTTGTTTTCGGCGCGTTCGGGGTCATGGTTGGTGGGGGCGGGAGGGGGTTTGGGGTTGGGGATGAGGCCGGCGAGGCGGCGTCGGTGGCCGGCGGAGGTTGAGTCGAGGCGGAGGCGGGAATAGGTCTGGCGGCGGCTTCCGGCGCTCTCGTTGAAGAGGGTTTTGTCAATTTGGGGGACAACAACGTCGTGGGTGCGGTGGAGATCGAATGCAGCGTCGGAGCAGAGAGATAGGGCGTGGAGCTCCGACTGAGACAGTGTGCTGATGTCGATTCGAATGAGGGACTCTGGTTTTAGGCCGGAGGCTTGGGACTCGGTGGCGATAGTAACCATTTTGTGGTGATATAAATATATATATAGATATAGAGAGAAAAAGAGAGAGGGAGGGTGCTACTGTGAAGAAATGTACATGTTTAGAGAGAGAGAGAGAGAGAGAGTAGAAAAGAGTAGCAGGTGGTGTGGTGGTGGTGTTGTGTCACAGAAGCTGTCCGAGCTGTTCGCCTCCCACATTCGAACAAGTCTTTCTATTCTACTGTATAATTTTATTTTTTGGTAATTAAGAATTACTGGAGTATTAGTATATCACACTATATCCTTATTCATTTTCTATATATATTATTCTCCCTCTCACAAAATTCTCAAGAGTGTTTTTGTGAAACATTTTGTTTAATTAAGTCAATATTAAAATGATAGTTTGAAAATATTATGGAGTAAAAAATTTTGTCCAGTTGTTTAATTAAGTCAATGTTAAAACAATAATTTGAAAATATTATGAAGTAAAAAATAAATAAAACATGTATTTTGATACATCCCAAAATAAAAATATATATAATAATTTTGGAATATAAGAAGTATGTATTTGTAGTTTGTTCATTTGTATATTTATATTTATACAAATATATATATATACATATATATACAAATTTTCGGTGAATACATTTTACACAAAATAGTTGTGATATACTTGGTAATTTTTTATTTTTTTTCTTCTTTCTGACTATAGAGTTTGGTTTGAATATATTTTTCTAAACTCAAAACTCAACTCGAATTTGGTTAATTTTCTTAAATAGTTTTTAAATTGTTATTCTTTTTTAATTCAGTCCTAAATCTTTAGAATTCTTGAAATTCGGTTTTGGTGGTTTTATATTGAATTAAGACCATTCCTTTATTTGCACTAATTAAAATAGCTTCATCAAAATTATTTTAATCAAGTTAGTTGATCGGTCTTATAATTTTTTATTCAGCATTCTCAATTTATTTATTTTTTTAATTATATATCTAAGAGCTCCCAATATAATATAAATTCATGAATTCAATAAATATTAAAATGAGAATAAACCACACCGTTAGAAACCAAAATTATAAACATAGTATAGTAAAACAACAAACAGTATTAACCAATTTAAGATGGAGTTACATTGGTTGCAATTTGCAAATCAAAGAGAGACTGTAATTTTTCTTTTTCTTTTTAAAAAAAAAAAAAAAAAACAGAAACGGGTGGAAAATTGCTAAAGATATAACGGGCTTTGGGCCTGGCCCGTCCGTGAGGATCCATGAAAAGTCGTTAAAAATGAAAAAATTGTCCGACCTGCCGGATTCGAACCAGCGACCTAAGGATGGCCATCGGGCTTAACCAACTACAGTCCTCCGCTCTACCAACTGAGCTAAGGTCGGTTTGTGTTAATTATTGAATTATATTATATTAATACAAGTATAAAATCAAAACACTCACAAATGAATCCAAGCTAATTGTAGCATCTAATATTGTGGCCACATCTTTGAAATAGAGAAAGATGTTTAACCCACTTTATGCAACCCCTTTGTCTGTTTCCCCTTCTCCAGGTCAGTTCGCAAAAAAATTTAATGCTTATTATTACTATTTTTAGAAATGGTATTTTATTAGAAGAAAGGATAACATCAAAGTAAAACCCAATTAAAACTAAGAAATTTATATCTTAAGCCTTAGACATGCAGCATCAAGAACTGAATAAGAAGTGGAAAAAGCAACTCCTTGCCTAGAGTGACATTTCATACTATCTGCAGAGAGGTTGTTGGCATTTATATGTGTGAATATCCCCCAATTGTATAGACGCATTTGATAAAAACCATTAGTATCGGGAGGATAGTATACAAAACAGAAAACAATATCTATACAAAATAAGTGAATCGTAACAAATGGTATCAGAATCAATCCTTAATTGGAAATAGGGTAACGTTCGTACCCGCGAAGTCAAGAAGGAACCAATCAGCCATCTGAATAAGCCTATTGCCATTAGCTTCAGCTTTGATTGCCGAGACCATGGTTGCTCGAAATATCCAATGGGCTTTGCTATGGGGTTTCACCAATGCTTGTATTGAAAAATATTGCAGAATGATCATTCATGTCTCTTCTCCCAAAGTGTCTATTGCTGCTTTATGTTTCAGTAGGTGCCTCATGATGCCAACAAATTGCTCATTCCTTGTGCAAAGTTAGGATGCAATTGAGAGATGATAAGAGAATTTAGTGAGGCACTTCCTTTTGGTATAAAGGAAATCCTTCTAAATGGAATTCTGCAACTACACATAAGGTGAAATGACTTTTACACTCCCTATTTACATACAACAATCATGATTTAAATCACAAGAACAAACATTTTAGATGCAATATAGTTTTAGGAAATTGCAGAAGATAGTTGACCTTGCCTCTGAATTATGCCATAAGCATATTCATGTCAAACTTATGAGATCAATCTCATATACCACATATTCTAGCATACAATTTGCAGTTCAAATAAGGTCTATTTGTAAAGTAATTGAAGCAAGAGACAATTAGCAGGCGAAGAAAGTGAAGACACAAGATACACAACAAATAGAAAATGACATTCAATTTATCAATTTCCTCCGCAAAGATGGAAGTACACACGACATCGTGAGCAGAAAAAAAAAATAAAATTAAAAATAAAATAAAATTACATAGAGATGTCATAATCATCTAGCTACCTCTCAAGGAATTCAACACAAGGTTTTAAGCCTCGTGAAATCGGACCAATTTTGTGTTTCATTCGGATCCAAGAATCTAACCCTAGAATTTGTTATTACTGTACAACAAGGAGAAGGCTTTTTAGTCCAACAAGCTTCACATCCATGGGGAATAAATTATTCTAAGAGCTCCCTTCATCAAGTCAATATTGGAAGAATTCTGACCATTTACAACTTTCAAAGCAATGGGTTAGCCAATAATGCCTATTATTGCTTAAAATTGTTCAAGAGAACTCTGTGTTTCGGAGGCCAGTGTTGTTCTGAAATCCTTGGGTAACGTCGGATCTAGCTGATTTAATGCAGGTAATGAGAGATTCTGCAGAACTACATAAACCTCTCCGCCCAACCAACCTTACCTGAAAATCTCGATTTAACATTCTCATCCTGCTTACATCTCCATCCAGTTCACTCAGCTCAGCAACCTGCTTCCTTCTTATCAAGCCATAAAGATGTATACAGCCAGAGCCCAATTTTTCACCTCTGAATGCAACTTTTAACAAAGAATTAGACTCGAAATCAGTAGAATTGGGATCGAACAGAACAGAGAAGCTACCAAATGTAAGGTCAGGAGTGTCAAACAATTTATCTACATCACTTTCTGCATTGATATTATTTGATTTTTCAGCCAGTACCAATGACCTCCTCTTAGCAACTCTCAACATATTAGCTGACTCTCTCATGCCACTAAGAAAAGCTCCGTGCATTGTTGCTGGATACTGTTTGTTAGTCGCCTCTCCAGCAAAGAAAACCCTCCCATCTCCGACACTCTCTGCAAGAATATCATAATCATCGCCTGAAGACCCAACCGCAACATAAGAGTATGACCCGTATGTGAACTGATCTTGTCCCCAACGAGTACAAACCGCCTGAAGTGGATTAGGAACAGAAATCCCTTTTGGATCGAAAATTGCCCTCAAAATATCTAGTACCCTCTCTACAGATGCAACTGGAGACATCATTTCAAAGTTAATTGCAGCTTCACCAGCAACAAGAGCTACAAGTAGTGGGCCTCCTGAAACAGACGAATAGCTATAAAACAAAAAGAACTCGCCCCTCATACTCGAGTCCTCGGCCAAATGACCAAATGTATCAATTTCACCACCCCAAAAATCATAGGGAAACAACATTGCAACCTTATTTAGCAATCCAAATCCTAATCTTTCAATTGCATCTGTTTTTCGCTTTGGAAGCTCCGGGACAAACTCAATTGATCCCTTCTTGAGCACACCCAATGGCACCGTGCAAAGAACCATGTCCCCACGGTACTCTTGCCCACCTGCATACACCAAAACCCCATCAACTCCATATCTTATACTCTCCACCGGCCGGTCATAGAAAATCGGGAGGTCCTCCGCCATTGCCCTGATAAACCTCTCATTCCCTCCGGGAATGAAACAGTGATCACCACCCATCTCATAGGGATCATCTTGATCCCAAAACGCCATCGACAAATTCGACATCAAGGTTGCATTTGCGTACTCTAGGTTTGCAAGGTGCCAATTCAAGAGCATTCGCTCTTGGGGATCCTCTGCCACCCCAAAAACGCAGCGGAACGCCTCGAGTGCTGTCCCTAATGAAACATCTACTGATTTCACTTCCTCCATCATTGATTGCCTAAGTTTACAAACCCTATCTAACAATTTATTGAAAGAAGCTTCAACTCGAGAATCCATTTCGGAATTTACAGTTCTACCATCGGGTAAATACAAAGGGCATATATCTCTCACCTTATGAAGTGGATACCCTAATTGCCTAGCAAGAACCCCAAGTGGGTTCCCATTGATTCCGGTGAGGACGCTTCCGCCAAGATCCGCCGCCGCCACCACTCCCTCGCCACCGCCGCACATCTTCTTTGTCCGGACACGGCCACCAGGACGGCTGCGACCCTCCAGCACAACGACCTTAAACCCTAGAAAGATCAATTGCCTTGCGGCGACCAATCCGGCGAGTCCAGCTCCGACTATGATGACATTGGCCTTTGGTGCGCCATCTGGTGGCCGTAATTTCGATTCTTTGATGGCCGGAGCGAGGCCGAAGTTGATGTAACCATGATTGAGCAAGAAAGTGTAGGCAGAATCGACTAGATCTCGGTGCTGAGCTCGAATCCACTCCATGGCATCATCTTTTGTCATCCAGACCGAGACGTTCGATCGCCAACGAGAAAGAATGTGGTTCCGAACGACGATGTAGTTCGCCTGTTCGACGCCGCCGATTTGCGACACCACGTTGGCTTCGATCTCCTCCTCGGTGAGCGAGTCGACGGGGAAGCCGACGGAGATCGCGATCAGCGCCTCCACGTCGACTTCCTTGGCGACGTCGGAGATGCGCCGGCCGTTCTTGGAGAGCGAAATAGCGTCGTCGATTTCAACCATCTCGTCCGCCAATTTCTCGTTTTGTCTGGAGTGGGGCCGGAGGACCCGTAGGCCGGTGACGGCTGCCGCCGACGAGATCATCTCCGGGAAGAGCTTCTTCCGGCGACGACGTTTCTTGGGCGGTGGCGGACCGGGTTCGTCGTTGGGTAAACCGGGCTCGGGTTGTTCAGGGTCGTTGGGGACCGGTTCGGAAGTGTCGTCGAGCTGAGAGTCAGATACGGGGGGTTCGGGTGTGGTATGGGGAGGAGGAGAGTGGTGGTCTCCGGGAAAAGAATCGTCGGAGGTGACATTGTTGAGGCTGTCGGAGATTTCGGGTGGAGTATCGGATGTTTCCATGTGATTGGTGTGAGTCAAAGTTCTCAGATTTTGTGGAGTGTACTTTTTTTTTTTTTTTTTTTTCCCTCCCTGTGGAGTGTGTACTTGAATGTGTTACTTCTATGTGTTTCAGTCCAAATTTCCAAATTAAATTAGGGCTCAGTGTTGGTACGTCAGTAGACTAGGGTTTTGGGACTTTATTCAATTAGGGCTCTCTATTCCTCCAATTCTTGCTAACAATTTACTCCATAATTGGTTAAAATTTAAAATATAATTAATTGAATAGAGTCATTTCATATTAATAATAAATACGGTAATTGTGTTACTTTGTTAATAATATAAAGGCATTTTTGACATTTAACAGAAGTTTTATTAACAAATCTAGTTGTTTCTAAAGAAAAGGTTTTAACTTTTTGTACACACAATTCTTTTGGAGGGTGTACAATTTCTTCAACTAAAAAAAAAATTAAAAAGGAAAGAAGTTGAAAAACATTTTAAAAAGAAAAAAGAAGTTTGTTAATGATGATTAACTTTTAAGGCTATGAGAGGTAAAGTGGATTATTCATTCCCCTGAATAATATCCTTCTCAGTTTACTAATAATTTTTTAGTAGTATTTTTTTTAGCATCTTTAATGAGAATAAAACATGAAAGATATATAATTTTTATACTCACAAAAAAAGAGGGGAATTTAAACACGAACACATCATGTCTCTGTCAATTAGGCCACTAGATAATGCCAAAATAATACGAAATGTTCAAATTTTTATATTTGCATAATTTTTATGCAAACAAAATTAAAAAAATTGATGTCGCCCTTTTTGAAACATTAAAGTTGAACTAGTTTTTGCCTCTATCAATCAAACTACTAAATAATGCCAAAATAATATGAAATGTTCAAAATGTTATATTTGCATAATTTCTATGCAAACAAAATTAAAGAAATTGATGTTGCCTTTTTGAAACATTACACTTGAACTAATTTTTTTTCCAAATTTTTATTTTGAAATTTCAATTTCATACTTCAAAAAAAAAAAAAAAAAAAAACTTTTGGTGATTATAGGGTTTCTATTTTATAACATATTGTGAATAATAAGTATGTATTTGCCTTCAACTTAAAAATAAAATAAAAATAAATAAATTACTCAAGGTGGTTTGTACATAAATAATTAAAGGAATAACAAACTTGAGACACATATTTCTTTTACATAGATATTTTGCTACATATTTCACAATGATATTTAATACCTCTTCTATTGTGAGGAACATGAGGTACTTTACATGTTAACATATGACGGCAACTAATACTTTCTTCTTGTCGACTTTTTATTGAAAAAAATAATAATTTTTTTTTTTTTATTTTTATTGAGGTGCAACTCAGCATGAGTTAAGGTTGAAGTAGGCCTTAATCTGGGCATGACCCAGTCAAGGTTAAAGTGGGAAGAATACGATACAAGAATCTTATGATGGGCCTAACTCCCTGTAGTGGGCCTAAGCCCTTTTCCTGGGAACCAAAATGTTACCATTAGTTATATGTGAGTGTTGTAGTGGGCCTAAGCCCTTTTCCTGGGAACCAAAATGTTACCATTATATGTGAGTGGAGAAGGAAAAAAGAAGAAAAAGAATGGGGTGAGAGAGGCTCGAACTCTCGACCTCAGGATAACTCAGAAGCTATGAGACCTACGCGCTAGCCAACTGCGCCACCACCCCAGTATGCTAATCTTTTGTTGAAATGATATATGATTATGAATATATAATAACATGATAACAAAAGGTTGCTGAAATGTAGCATTACATTACCCAACAGGCACCTAATAGTCAATTATATTTAACATCCTATTATAAATATAGAGCAAGAAATATAAAACATAAGAGATGAGAATGAACAAGAAGAGATAAGTTTTCTATTATTTCTCTTTATTCGGTGTATTAAAATTCAACACAATTCATGTATATTTATATGCAGATTTTCACTCCCACTTTACTGTTCTTTTCCTCCATCTCTTGTTCACGGTCCACGCCTATACAAACACAAATTATACATTTCTCTTTTTTTGACGTACATAACTCATATAATAGGTGCAAAACATTTAATATGTGGACCCTACATCAACTTTTACAACACTCCCCCTTGGGATCCATCATACTACACTAAAACTATGCTTCATTAAAACCTTACTAAGAAAAACCCAGTAGGATAAAAATTTAGCGAAGGAAAAAGAGTACAATATTCTTGTGTGTCTGAAAATGGTATTGCATAGATTAAAACTGTCTCATTAAAACCTTGCCAAGAAAACTCAGTAGGAAAAACCATAGTAAAGGAAAAGAGTACAATATGCCAATGCATTTTCAATTCAATTGTTCCCCTTCATTTAGCATTAAATATCATTGAGTCGACGCATTTCAATATTATGCACTAGTTTCTTAAATGTTGTAGTTGGAAGCGCTTTAGTGAATAAATTTGCTAGATTATCACTCGAGCGTATTTGCTGAACATTAATATCATGGCTCTTCTGGAGCTTGTGTGTGGAAAAGAATTTTGGTGAAATGTACTTGGTTCTGTCACTTTTTATGTAGCCTCTCTTACTTGTGCAATACATGTTGTATTATCTTCATATAATATTGTTGGACTATCTTTGATTGATGAGAGTCCACATGATTCCCCAATATGTTGTACCACAGATCTCAACCAAACACACTCTCTACCTGTTTCATGAATTGCAAGTATTTCAGAGTGATTTGAGGAAGTTGTAGTCATGCTCTGTTTCATAGATCGCCATGATATAGCAGTATCACCACAATTAAACAAGTACCCTGTTTGTGATCGAGTTGTATGTGGGTCAGAAAGATAACCTATATCTACATATCCGATCAACAAGGGCTTTGATTTTCTTGAATAAAATAACCATATTAGTCGTTCCCTGAAGGTAACGCAGAATATGTTTGACCCTATTCCAATGTCTCCGAGTTGGTGCAGAACTATACCGTGATAGTAAATTGACTGCAAATGCTATATTAGGTCTGATGCAATTCATAAAGTACATAAGAGCACCGATTGCACTAAGATATGATACTTCAGGACCAAGAACTTCTTCGTCTTCTTCTTGAGGACGAAAATGATCTTTCTTAACATCAAGTGATTGGACAATCATTGGAGAACTCAAGGGGTGAACTTTATCCGTTTAAAAGTGCTTCAGTACTTTTTCAGTGTATGTTGATTGATGGATAAGAATTTCACTTGGTAAATGCTCGATCTATAGGCCGAGACAAAATTTTGTTTTACCAAGATCTTTCATTTAGAATTTTTTCTTTAAATAATCAGCGGTTGTAGTGAGCTCTTCAGGAGTTCCCACAAGATTTAGATCGTCAACATATACAGCTATAATGACAAATCCAGATTTTGATTTCTTGATGAAAATGGATGGACAAATTGGATTATTCACATATCATTCTTTTAGTAAATACTTACTGAGAGGATTCAATTCGTACAAGGATCGTTGTAGCTTAATCGAATACATAGTACGTGGTTTCAAGCTAATTGCTTCAGGTATTTTAAATCCTATAGGGATTTTCATATATATGTCATTATCTAGTGATCTATATAAATAAGTTGTAACCACGTCCATCAGACGCATATCAAGTCCTTCTGAAATTGTCAAATTGATCAAGAAGCGAAATGTGATTGCATCCATTGTGAGAGAATATGTCTTCTCATAATCAATACCAGGTCTCTGCGAGAAACCTTGAGCAATAAGTCGGGTTTTGTATCTTACAATTTTATTTTTCTCGTTATGTTTCCGTACAAATACCCATTTATACCCTACAGGCATGACATCTTCAAGTGTCTAGACTACAAGCCTAAATAATTTACGTTTTGCTAATGAGTTTAGTTCTGTATGTATTGCTTCTTTCCATTTTGGCCAATTATTTCTATGTTGACACTCTTCAACGTTTTGAGGTTCGAGATCCTTTTTATCACCTGCAATATCAAGAACAATTGCAAAGTAGAATATTATGATACCCCTCGAATCCGAGACACGGGTTGATTAGGCCCAAGCCCAAACTCGAGAAAATATAAAACAATTAATATTTTAAAGTAAACACAGAATACAAGATGAATTTAAGAAATAATAGTTTAAGCTGAAAGAAATCTAAAATATAAAATTCTTTAAAATTAAATATTTAAAATCCCAGATAATAATAATCCAACTCCAAAACCTCCAAGGGTACAACTCGGCAATCCATCTTGTGGACCCCTAATAAGAAAACCAAACTGAACTGAAAACTAAAAGAAAACCATATGAATAGAGCTCCTACGTCGTCAGAAGAATGAGTAGTCGCCTTTGCTCAGCACGAACAAGCTCAAGCCTGGAACTGACGTACACCTGAAAAATAGGAGTGGGTCAGGCCCACGAACAAGTTCTATCCTACTATAATCCAAGCAGAGACTCGATACGCATATACACTCTAACCAACTCAACAATAACTATATAATCCGTGTCTATATATATATCCATACTATGGACTCTCACTGGACCATGATACGAGTCTCAACCAGAGTAGAAGGTAACATGCAAAACGCACCTGAGTGGGCATGACTACCTAAGCCTAACAGGGTACACCTCAACCAGCATAGCCAGCTACGCGTCCTATTGCATATACGCTCCCTAACCGTTGACTCTGAGACTCAAGCTCAAGCCACGGTATCATAATAATATATTTAAAATCCGTTCCTATCCATCCATAGGAAATCCAGTAAGTCGTTCAACTTATTCAACCGCACAGACTTATATAAGAGATTCAGTAAGTCGTTCAGCTTATTCAACCGCACAGACTTAAATATAAGGAGAATTATGTTTTTATAATCCGTACCCTTATCCCAAAATAGGTAGGATTTAGCACTCTGGGCTAATCCAAACCTAGTATGTCACCGTCCCATACCGATGCATACAATCCAATCCATCCAGCAGTTGATAGAACAAATAACCATTATAACTATCAACTAATCCATAAAATTCACAATTGATAATAGAAATATTAAAACATAAGCATCAATTGTTCCATATCAAGCCTGCTAAAATTTCGTAAATTTACAGTCTTGATCAAAACCACTCCGCACAATACCTTAATTGATTTTACAGATTATACATGTAAACCAATTACCTCCAAGCAAGCATAACAGAATATAAGAGTTCACATGCTTAGTTTTATAACACTGTAACATAATTAACTGTCAAACCATTACTACGAAT